GTAAAGGCAAAAAACGTCATATTGTAATAAGGCGTAAAAACGTCATATTGTAAATAAGGCATAAAAATCTAAAAAAAAAAAAAAAAGTCATAAGTTTAGTATGTCCAAAAAATCTCCATACGTATAGTAAGGCGTGGAAAAGAAAACAAGTCAATAGTAAGACGTAAAAACGTCATAATAACTAGTAAGAGCACTTAAAAAAAATGGCATACGGTAGGCATACGAGGAAAAAATGTCATAGTATCTAGCCAACGGCATAAAAAATGTAATCACAACGTCATACCGTATACCATACTATGCTATGACATTTTTTTGACATATTGTTCTATATTTTTTGACATTTTTATGCCTTACTATGACGTTTTTTTTTACATACTATGACGTTTTTTTTTTACACGCTATACTATGACGTTTTTTTTTACATACTATGACGTTTTTTTTTTACACGCTATACTATGACGTTTTTTTTTACATACTATGACGGTTTTTTTTTTACACGCTATACTATGACGTTTTTTGGCATTTTTACGCCTTAATATACTATGACGTTTTATTGCATTTTTATGCCTTGCTATACTATGACATTTTTCCTCTATGCCTTACTATGCCATGTTTTTTATGCCTTACTATATTATGACGTTTTTACGTCTTACTATGACTTTTTTTCTTTTACGCCTTACTATACTATGAGATTTTTTGACATACTAAACTATGACTTTTTTTTTTTTTTTAGATTTTTATGCCTTATTACAATATGACGTTTTTACGCCTTATTACAATATGACATTTTTTGCCTTACTATACTATGTCGTTTTTTGACATTCTATACTATGACATTTTTTTTTTTACAATTTTATGCCTTAGTATACTATGACGTTTTTTAACGTTTTAATGGCTTACTATTTTATGACGTTTTTTGACATACTATACTATGACGTTTTTATGCCTTACTATACTATGACATTTTTTTTAAGCCTTACTATACTATGAAGTTTTTTGACATGCTATACTATGACATTTTTTTTTCATTTTTATGCCTAAGTATACTATGACGTTTTTATGCCTTACTATATAATGACCTTTTTTGTTTTTTATGCCTTACTATACTATGATGTTTTTATGCCTTACTATATAATGACCTTTTTTGTTTTTTATGCCTTACTATACTATGACGTTTTTATGCCTTACTATAACGTTTTTTGACATACTATACTATGACAGTTTTTTTTACAATCTTATGCCTTAGTATACTATGACGTTTTTTGACGTTTTTATGGCTTACTATTTTATGACATTTTTTGACATACTATACTATGACGTTTTTATGCCTTACTATACTATATTTTTTTTATGCCTTACTATACTATGACGTTTTTTTTACACGCTATACTATGACGTTTTTTGGCATTTTTACGCCTTAATATACTATGACGTTTTATTGCATTTTTATGCCTTGCTATACTATGACATTTTTCCTCTATGCCTTACTATGCCATGTTTTTTATGCCTTACTATATTATGACGTTTTTACGTCTTACTATGACTTTTTTTCTTTTACGCCTTACTATACTATGAGATTTTTNTTGTAATACTAAACTTTGACTTTTTTTTTTTTTTTAGATTTTTATGCCTTATTACAATGACGTTTTTACGCCTTATTACAATATGACGTTTTTTGCCTTACTATACTATGACGTTTTTTGACATACTATACTATGCCTTACTATATAATGACTTTTTGTTTTTTATGCCTTACTATACTATGACGTTTTTATGCCTTACTATCCTATGACGTTTTTTTTCACATTTTTATGCCTTACTATCCTATGACGTTTTTTTTCACATTTTTATGCCTTACTATCCTATGACGTTTTTTTTCACATTTTTATGCCTTACTATCCTATGACGTTTTTTTTCACATTTTTATGCCTTACTATCCTATGACGTTTTTTTTCACATTTTTATGCCTTACTATCCTATGACGTTTTTTTTCACATTTTTATGCCTTACTATCCTATGACGTTTTTTTTCACATTTTTATGCCTTACTATCCTATGACGTTTTTTTTCACATTTTTATGCCTTACTATCCTATGACGTTTTTTTTCACATTTTTATGCCTTACTATCCTATGACGTTTTTTTTCACATTTTTATGCCTTACTATCCTATGACGTTTTTTTTCACATTTTTATGCCTTACTATCCTATGACGTTTTTTTTCACATTTTTATGCCTTACTATCCTATGACGTTTTTTTTCACATTTTTATGCCTTACTATCCTATGACGTTTTTTTTCACATTTTTATGCCTTACTATCCTATGACGTTTTTTTTCACATTTTTATGCCTTACTATCCTATGACGTTTTTTTTCACATTTTTATGCCTTACTATCCTATGACGTTTTTTTTCACATTTTTATGCCTTACTATCCTATGACGTTTTTTTTCACATTTTTATGCCTTACTATCCTATGACGTTTTTTTTCACATTTTTATGCCTTACTATCCTATGACGTTTTTTTTCACATTTTTATGCCTTACTATCCTATGACGTTTTTTTTCACATTTTTATGCCTTACTATCCTATGACGTTTTTTTTCACATTTTTATGCCTTACTATCCTATGACGTTTTTTTTCACATTTTTATGCCTTACTATCCTATGACGTTTTTTTTCACATTTTTATGCCTTACTATCCTATGACGTTTTTTTTCACATTTTTATGCCTTACTATCCTATGACGTTTTTTTTCACATTTTTATGCCTTACTATCCTATGACGTTTTTTTTCACATTTTTATGCCTTACTATCCTATGACGTTTTTTTTCACATTTTTATGCCTTACTATCCTATGACGTTTTTTTTCACATTTTTATGCCTTACTATCCTATGACGTTTTTTTTCACATTTTTATGCCTTACTATCCTATGACGTTTTTTTTCACATTTTTATGCCTTACTATCCTATGACGTTTTTTTTCACATTTTTATGCCTTACTATCCTATGACGTTTTTTTTCACATTTTTATGCCTTACTATCCTATGACGTTTTTTTTCACATTTTTATGCCTTACTATCCTATGACGTTTTTTTTCACATTTTTATGCCTTACTATCCTATGACGTTTTTTTTCACATTTTTATGCCTTACTATCCTATGACGTTTTTTTTCACATTTTTATGCCTTACTATCCTATGACGTTTTTTTTCACATTTTTATGCCTTACTATCCTATGACGTTTTTTTTCACATTTTTATGCCTTACTATCCTATGACGTTTTTTTTCACATTTTTATGCCTTACTATCCTATGACGTTTTTTTTCACATTTTTATGCCTTACTATCCTATGACGTTTTTTTTCACATTTTTATGCCTTACTATCCTATGACGTTTTTTTTCACATTTTTATGCCTTACTATCCTATGACGTTTTTTTTCACATTTTTATGCCTTACTATCCTATGACGTTTTTTTTCACATTTTTATGCCTTACTATCCTATGACGTTTTTTTTCACATTTTTATGCCTTACTATCCTATGACGTTTTTTTTCACATTTTTATGCCTTACTATCCTATGACGTTTTTTTTCACATTTTTATGCCTTACTATCCTATGACGTTTTTTTTCACATTTTTATGCCTTACTATCCTATGACGTTTTTTTTCACATTTTTATGCCTTACTATACTATGACGTTTTTTTTTTGTTCATTTTTATGCCTTACTGTACTATGGCATTTTTTTTTACATTTTTACGCCTAACTATACTATTACGTTTTTATGCCTTACTATATAATGACTTTTTTTTTGTTTTTTATGCCTTACTATACTGACATTTTTTGACATACTATACTATGACATTTTTTTTTTTTTAGATTTTTATGCCTTATTACAATATGACGTTTTTATGCCTTACTATACTATGACGTTTTTTGACATACTATACTATGACATTTTTTTTTACAATTTTATGCCTTAGTATACTATGACGTTTTTATGCCTTACTATACTATGACGTTTTTTGACATATTATAATATGACTTTTTTTTTTTCATTTTTATGCCTAACTATACTATGACTTTTTTTTCCAATTTGTGTGCCTTAGTACAATATTACGTTTTTTACGTCTTACTATACTGTTTTCTGACATTTTTGTACCTTACTATACTATAACATTTTTTTTTTAATTTTTTATGCCTTATTATACTATGTTTTTTTTTGTTAATTTTTATGCTTTACTGTATTATGACTTTTTTTTTACGATTTTAATGCCTTACTATACTATGATGTTTTTATTTATTTTTTATGCCTTGCTATTATGTGACGTTTTTATGTCTTACAATACTATGACGTTTTTTTTACATTTTTATGCCTAACTATACTATGACGTTTTTATGCCTTACTATACTATGACATTGTTTTTACATTTTTACGCCTTACTATACTATGACATTTTTTTTTACATTTTTACGCCTTACTATACTATGACGTTTTCTGGCATACTATACTATGTTGTTTTTATGCCTTCCTATACTATTACGTTTTCTGGCACACTATACTATGACGTGTTCATACCTTACTATACTATGATAATTTTTTACATTTTTATGCCTAACTATACTATGACGTGTTCATACCTTACTATACTATGGCGTTCTTGACAATTTTTATACCTTAATATACTGACATTTTTATGATATTTTAGCCTTATTACTTATTACTACTTTTTGACATAGTAATTCCTATCTATACTGTTTTTTGGGTTTTTTTTTGCATATTATACTGACTTTTTTCACACTTTTATACCTTACTTTACTATGACATTTTATGCCTTACTATACTATGCAATTTTCTGATTTCTTAGACTATGAAATTTTATACCTTATGTACACAATGTGGAACCAGGGGATGAGGCAAATTTAAAAAATTTTTCCAGGAGGAAAGAAAGATTACGAGGCAAAACAAATGCTTGAGGGAAACCAATGAATTTATTGTCAAATTCAAGCACAAATTAAATCACTGCAAATGCCAACAAAAAGTATATATATAATAATTAGAAAACAATAAATAACCAGGATTTTTTACAACTACACACTGACAGTCTTGGAACAAAGGAGACTCAGGTTATTAGGGAACAAAGCACCCTTCTTCACAGCAATCACACTGCCATACACTGGCCCGTTGGCTTGGACTCTACGGTGACACATCTTGCCAATCTGCAAGTGGACGCATCAGTTCATCTTCTCCACAGAAGGAGGACATATACCTGAAGGGAGAGAGAGAGCAGCAATACCACATAACACCTTACTATACTGTTAAGTTTTTTGACATACTATCAAATTTTTTATGTCTTACTATATTACTATAGTAGGACATACCATAATATACTATACTACTTAGTAAGGCATAAAAAATGTCATAGTATAGTAAGGTATAAAAATGTGAGAAAAAGTCTTAGTATAGTATGTCAAAAAAAGTCATAGTAAAGTATGTCAAAAAACATCATAATATAGTAAGGCATAAAAATGTGGGAAAAAAATGTCATAGTATAGTAAGGAATAAAAACGTCATAGTATAGTATGTCAAAAAACGTCATAAAATAGTAAGGCATAAAAATGTGAAAAAAACGTCATAGTATAGTAAGGCATAAAAACGTCAAAAAACATAGTATAGTAAGGCATAAAAACGTCATAGTATAGTATGTCAAAAAACGTCATAAAATAGTAAGGCATAAAAACGTCAAAAAACGTCATAAAATAGTAAGGCATAAAAACGTCAAAAAACATCATAGTATAGTATGTCAAAAAACGTCATAAAATAGTAAGGCATAAAAATGTGAAAAAAAACGTCATAGTATAGTAAGGCATAAAATCGTCATAGTATAGTATGTCAAAAAACGTCATAAAATAGTAAGGCATAAAAATGTGAAAAAAACGTCATAGTATAGTAAGGCATAAAA